AAGGAGATGGAGTTGAAAAGGATGAACACAAAACGTTTGAATATTATTTAAAGAGTTTTAAACAAGGGAATCTTTGTGCTATGCATAGAATTGGTTATTGTTATGAAAACGGAATTGGTGTAGATAAGGATGAAAATTTAGCTTTCGAATGGTATTTGAAATCTGCTGGTATTAAGCATCAATGTAATGCAAGAGATTATTTTCATTGGATATCATATGAAAATTTTAAAAATATTGAAGAAATAGGTAAGGGAGGATTCTCTATAGTATATAAAACGTCTTTTGAAACATTCGAGGAAGTTGCGATCAAGATAGTAAAAAATTCGCATAAAGATGAAAAACTTTTCTTAAATGAGGTGTTTTTTTTTTTTTTGTAATAGTTGAGTTTAATTTAAACGTATCACTGTATATTAACACATATTTTTTTTAGTTGAAAGCTTGTCATAAATTTAATAAATATATTGGCATATCAAAAGATAAAGATCATTTGGTGTTATTATGTCCGAGATATCTTTAGGACAAAGGCCATTCGATGGATACGATTTTGATGCTAGTCTTGCACTAGCAGTTTGCAATAAATTACGACCTGGATTCGCACCTGGTACTCCCGAATGTTATACTAAATTGGCAATGCAATGCATGGACATCGATCCTAAAAAGCGACCTGATGTTTGGAATAATTAGTGAATGGAATAATACCTTATGTGATCTAAACAATAATGAAACTAAACAGCAATTCTTGGAGGCTGATAAAAAGTTCATTAATATTTAAATCATTTAATTTGTTAATAATTGTGAGGGACCAACGTGAGTATTGACTAAGTTGAGGTACTCACGGGGTTTTGCATACGCAAAACCCCAACATGAGGCGCTGATCTGGGGTGACTGCTTGGTCCCTTGTTCCTTTAACGTGACCCTCTTTTTTTGTGACCCTTTTGTTTTCGCTTTCTCTTTTTTTTTTGTGACCATTTTGTTTTCGCCTTCGCTTTTTTTTTGTGACCATTTTGTTTTCGCCTTCGCTTTTTTTTCATTTTACTCAAAATTTGTTTTTTACTCATTATTTCGCTATTTTTTTTTTTTTTTTTTTTTGCTTGCACATTCTATCGTTCAAAATTTTTGTCTTTTTTTTTTGTTCTTTCTTTTGTTGCACAAATTGAATTTTCTTTTTTTTTTTTCTTTCACTCATTTTTTTGTAGATAGCTAATATCAATATAATTTTTTTTCTTTTTAGGATTAGACACTTGGGTGCAGAGAGTCAATCCGTATATACAATCAGGTATGTGTCGATATTCACATATATATATAGTTTAGTTTGATTATGCATTTGACTAAAAGAAAACATTCTGCATCATTATATTAAGAGTTCCTTGTTTGTCTTCCAAATATAGGTCTATAGTAACGGGAGCTTTCATTTTTTAGGATGTCAAAACCCGCCTTACTGAAGATAAACCATTATTTGGTATCTTGCAGAAATGTAAATTAAGCTAATCTCTAACCTTGTTTTTATATATAAAGAGATTGAGGATTGAAGCTTTAAAATTTAACCATGCATCTTATTATTGCTTTGTGTATTTTTATAATATGAAATGATTAAAATATATTCACACACAGATATATAATACAATATAGCTCCAAGAGCCTATACTCTTATTATTGCGATTATTACAAATATTATAATTGTATGTTTTTATGATGTACATTTTTATGATGTATATCTCTGATATATTACATTTGCATGAATATAAATATCAAAAAAAAAAAAAAAACTTGCAAAAAAAAAAGCCTGTTATTCGAAAAAAATCATACGATGGTCTATGAAGTTGATTTTCCCAAAACACCTATAGCATGTCAGGATATTATCAACTATCTTAGTAACAGAATTATACCCACCTCAATAAAACCCAAAAATCACTGGAATTTCAAGCGTAAAATGAAACTATGGTGCTTAGAGAATGATAATCTTTATGTTTAAATTAACAGTCAGCCGCTTTGATATTTCATTCCTGTATGGGACATGGAATTTCACCAATTACTATTTGGACAATTTCATGATAATGATCGCCACATTAATGCCAAGGATTGTCACAAAAAATCAGTGCATATCATATTGGTATAACGAAGAAAGAAGTTTATGAGTATGTTCGCAATTGTAATACATGCAACTGACTGTTATCGATAAAGAAAAAGGATGACATAACTCCCGTTATAAGCTACAAGCCAATAGAACATCTCCAGATGGATCTTGTCAATTTCACAGCTTACAAAGATATGAACGATGGGTTTTCTAGGCTCCTTACTATCATTTGTATCTTTTCTAAGTTTTTGTAGGCTATTCCACTAAAGACCAAGGAAGCAGATAGAGTTGGAGAAGCCTTAGTAACTCTATTTGCGCAGTGGGGTGCACTATCCATCTTACAATCCAACAATGGCAAAGAATTTACTTCTAAAGTTATTAAACGTGTCTGTGAAGCTCTTGAAATTACAGTTAGACATGGTTGTCCACAAAATCTGATGTCACAGGAGCAAGTTTAACGCTTAAACCAGACAGTCGGTCATGATTTTACGAAAATGTTATGGAATAATGAATTCCAATTACAGGATATTATTAGAAAGATCACTTACCAAAATTTGTTTTTCCTATAATACTACCTAATACAGTACCTACGGCAAAACCCCCTGTAAAGTGATATTCAGATACAAGCTTCTTGGAGTATATCAACAATTCAATCCCAACAATCCCGTCAAATTGCAAGAAATAGAGGTTTAGAAAATACAAGTAACATCTCAAACTATAGACAATCATCTAGAGAAGATCTCGGTGATTCATAATGAAATTAACAACCAACTCAAAAAATCAAAAAAGTACATGCTTAAGCATTCAAGTGTATACCGCCACAAAAATCTTTATGAGCCTGGACAATCGGTTGCAATTGCTCCTGATACAGATATGAATCCAACAATTAGGAAACATAAACTTCAAACTACATTCAAAGAAACTGGAATAGTAGTTAGCATTACAAACAACAATAAAACCATTGTTGTCAAGATGCCTGAAGGAAATACTGTTCGTTGTTCTGTAAAGAGAGTTTACCAGATTAAAAAAAATAAAGGTTTTTTTTTTCTTTTTTTTTTATTTAACTTAACTTTTTGCCTTTAGCAGTTCATATTCTCAACAAGACCTTTTTTCTTCTATTTTACCTCTTTCATAAGTGTTTTTCCCCATTTTATCTCTGTAAAATTTACTCCAAGTTTTGTTTTTCATTATATCAAAACTCTTTTTTCAATGTATCACTCTTTTTTTTAATATATCACTTTTTTTGATATATTTGATTCTTTTTTTGAGTTATACATATTTAGGGTTTAATTTTGAAGATACAAATTTGTAGGTTAGATATAGTTTTGGAGATGGGTTTACTGCATGTAATCTAAGGGATTCTTCTCATATTCATCCTAACAATGCATAAATATTTGAAATAAAACTACGTGGTTGCCTAATATTAAGCAGATCTCATATTGATCTGCGACAATAATTACTTGTATATCAATAAATTTTGAAGTATAAGAATCATTTGAATAATGAGGAATTTGTTCTAAATAAAAAGATTGAATTTAATTTTGATGAGTAAATTTTTGATAAACAATTTTCACTGGTCAAAATCAAAAATATAAACCAAATATCATCAAGCAATTATCTAATCGATAGCTGGCCGATAGTTTGGTAACTGCTATAAGATTAGAAGGAAATAAAAATAAGCTGATATTTTAAGATAGTTGAAAAATTTGTTACATCTCGGATAATAATCAGTAAAAAATATCAAAATATCATCTAATAAATAATAATATCATAAAG